TGCAGCCATGAAATTAAAAGACGCTTACTCCTTGGAAGGAAAGTTATGACCAACCTAGATAGCATATTTAAAAACAGAGACATTACTTTGCCAACAAAGGTCCATATAGTCAAGGCTATGGTTTTTCCAGTGGTCATGTATGGATGTGAGAGTTGGTCTGCGAAGAAAGCTGAATGTCGAAGAATTGATGCTTTTGAACTGTGTTGTTGGAGAAGACTCTTGAGAGTCCCTTGGACTGCAAGGAGATCCAACCAGTCCATCCTAAAGGAGATCAGTCCTGGGTGTTCATTGGAAGGACTGATGCTGAAGCTGAAACTCCAATACTTCGGCCACCTGATGCGAAGAGCTGACTCATTGGAAAAGTCCCTGATGCTGGGAGGGATTGGGGCAGGAAGAGAAGGGGATGACAGAGGATGAGATGCCTGGATGGCATCACCGACTCAATGGACATGAGTTTGAGTAAACTCTGGGAGTTGCTGATGGACAGGGAGGCGCTGATGGACAGGGAGGCCTGTTGTGCTGCGATTCACGGGGTCACAAAGAGTCGGACATGACTGAGTGACTGAATTGAACTGAACTGAATGTGATTATTAAGCTTTGCTCCCTTTAAATATATTTCAAGGTGTTATAAAACATTATTAGACCAAGATTCAGAGGGTTTTGGTCCAACTCTCAGTTTTTCTATTTTAATGGTCTTATAAACCAGGGAACTTTAGTAAACCTATGTTGTCTCACTTTTCTGATCTAAAAAGTAGGAACAAGTATTATCTACTTCAGCACTGTCATTATTGAATAGAACATGTGGAAGTATTTAATGAATGTTGACTGCATCTGAATCTCAGAGATCACTTGTCAGTCTGTCCTTCAAGGCTGTGATGATCATTGAATAGGAGCTACTCGAGGCATTCACACTGGATTCCTGTATCTCTAACACAGAGATATTTGTATCTCTTCCTGTTCTTATTTTGCCTTTCCCGCGGGCATTTACCTGAGGCTGCCCTAGATCCTAGAGTTTGACCTTCTAACTCTCAGTGGGAGAGTCAGGTAGCTTATGGCCATATCCTTTTCAGTCCTTGGATCTCACCTGCAAGAGAAGTAGACCTCAGCAGAGATCCTGAGGGTCAGAGAAGTGTGGAGGCTGTGGAGGCTGAAACCATTTCTATTGTTATTTTCAGATTTCCAGCGCAGATCTTGGCAGTTCCAGTACTCCTTGCCCTGTGTAGTTAAAAATTCTATTTTATGAAAATCTCTCTGCTCTTGTTGTACACAGATTATTCTGACTTTCTCTTCTTTTCCTTACATAAACAGGGCAAATTCACCACAGCAAGTGATGTGTGGGCCTTCGGGGTGACTCTGTGGGAGACTTTCACCTTTTGCCAGGAACAGCCCTATTCCCAGCTGTCAGATGAACAGGTCATTGAGAATACTGGAGAGTTCTTCCGAGACCAAGGGAGGCAGGTGAGAGCTGCTGGGGTGGAGAGATGTGGCCTTGGGTGCCTCTGAAGGTGAGAGAAAGAAAAGTTCTGATTTAACAGGATAGGCCTGAGCTGGAAGACGGGCTACCTGGGTGATAGTCATTTGTCACTATGTATCCAGGTGATGTGAAAGACCAAGGTCCTCCCTAGGCATCCATACACTCTACTTTTTCCGTGGGTCAACCCAGTGGTCAGTGGGGGGCATGAGGGAGTCCCATCAGGCTTCTCCACAACTCAAAGACGGTGGTGGTGGGGGTTTAGTCACAAAGCTGCGTCCTACTCTGTGAGACCCTGTGGACCGTAGGCTGTCAGGCTCCTCTGTCCATGGGATTCTCCAGGCAAGGATACTGGAGTGGGTTGCCATTTAGTTCTCCAGGGGACCTTCCTGACCCAGGGACTGAACCTGGGTCTCCTGCATTGCAGGTTGATTCTATACCGACTGAGCCTCCAGGGAAGCCCTAGTCAAAGATATCAGGAAATAAATCCTGTCTCTCATATTTGATCTGTGTCCTGGTCTAGACTGTACAGTTTATCTTTGTGGTTGAGAAACATAAGAATAAAAACATAAGCTAAAAGTGAATAAGGGAGTTATTAGCATTTGCTAAAAATTTGGTTTGGACTATTTAAAAATATTTCTCAACTTACGTGCCCAGAGACCATCAAGTGCATCCTGGCTTTGTTGTTCCTGGAAGGCACCTCTGGGCTCAGATGTTGTGGCCTCTGGACTCAGGAAAGCTAAGCTTCTAAGCTGATAGGGGCCCCAGTTCCTAGTTAAGATACTCCAAGTCTCCTTCAGATAACTCAGTGTCCAAAGTTCCTGTGATATGTGGGATTGAAAGCTTGCTGGTGGCTGGAGCGCTGAGCCCCCAGAGTGACTTGGAGTGTGGCATCTCAGACAAGAAAATGATAACAGTTGAGGAGAGGGAAAAGGCTCCTGAAGAAAATTAAAAGAGATCCTCTGTGTTTAACCAGATTAACGCAAACAAAAGATAAGGGAACGACTAGAGACTGTGGAATAAGTGGTTAAAAATAGGAGGAGGGGGTCCTAGAGCTTTATTGCGATCCTCTGTAGATATTTTGGTAGCAGGGGATCTAAATCATCTATTTTGGTTATGAGGTAATTGCCTTCTCATCTTGGCAAAAGGCTGATTTAGTGCTGAGATAAGGCATAGACCAAAGAAAACAACTTTTTTTTCTGGACTAGGAGCATGTCATGGCCACCTGGATGACTTATTAGATGTCTCATGGCCAATTAAAGGTGGTGCATTCTATTAGAAAGTGTAATTTTATTCATCATAACAATAATTCTAATTTGCTTACATCCTGGAATTATAGGCAAAGGGAGGAATATTTTAAACCTTTCAGTTTCCCTGATTTTATTATTCAGTGACTGAAATCTCACATGCAAAGAACAATTGAACCAACAAAATTGAGGCACAATTGAACCAACAAAACATTCAGCCAACAGAGGCATGCTTCCCCTCCCCACACTTTATGTCCACTGTCTGCTTTGCATTATATGTATTTTTGATATCAGGTAGCTTTTTACTTAGCACTAAAAAGTTGCATAGTAATTAATCAAATGTTATGCTATTCATTTTCAAAGAAAATGTTGTTTTATCATTTAATGGAAGTTTTAAATTCTAATAATCTCTGGGATTTAACTTTTCTTATTTATTTTTAACTGCTTATTAAAAGGGTCCATCATGTTCACTTTTACTAAATGATGCTAGAGAGTCAAATATATTTTGACCAACTACTAAATGGTTGAATAATAAAATTACATATTTGAGTGAAGCCAAGACCAAAGCATAATATCACCATCATATGCTGAGTAAGCTTCTCACCTATAAGTTTAAAATTTTGATAAAAGTTTATTTAATTCAACATATGAACTAACTAAGCATAATTCACTAAATTTGTATTTTATAACAGTTTACAAATTTTAATTACTTTAAATTTTCTTGTTAAAATTTCAGTATTCAAATTTTGAAAGTTTGATATTAGAGTATAAGCACAATAGTTATTCATCACTATCAGCTGCTAGATGTATTTTATGGACTCTACACATGTGATCTAATTTGTATTCAAACAGCACTGTTAATGTCACCAACTTGTTGAACATAGCAGATAACGTGCAGGAGAAAACTTTTCAGTAACACAAATTCTAGAAAGAATCTTATCCTTAGGGCTCATAGCTTAGACAAATCTTAAATCTTCCATAGTCAATTAAAAATGCTCGGAGGTCTATAATAATAATTCCAGTAATTTTAAAACGTATGTGACATTTTTTGTTTTCAATTTGTTTTTACAAATTGTAAAGAATTCTCAGAAAGCACTTTTCTTGAAAGCTCATGGTCTAAATGAAATTAAATAATTAAAAATTAAATACAGTTTTAAAAGCTTATTTTCTTTGATGTTATGATACTATCAACATAATGAGAATTACTACCAAATATAACTTTGTTTGCCAAGTTTATACAACTTTGAAAAGGGCAAATAATTTATTTGTCATTTCATTTTATGGATATCTGTTGGCTCAAAACAGATGTATTTTTTTCTAAAATTATTTAGTGAACACCCTAGATAAGGCTTAACACTTTTAAGTTTCACAAGTAGTATATGAGAGTGTCTATTATCCTGTATCCTTTATAATATTAGTAATATTTCTTTTAAATACTTGCTATTTTGTAGCCATAGTCACTTCTAACATACTGAGCTAAGGTTTGTCAGATCTTATTATATATTCAAATAGAAGCCAGAGGTATTTGTCTTCTTACTTTTTAATTAAGAATTGATGATGGAAAACTCCTTGGCATTAGTCGTAGCAATGGTTTTCTGGATCTGACAACAAAATCAAAGGCAATAAAGCACAAATAAACATGTGGGACTACATCAAACTGAAAATCTTCTTTATAATAAAGGAAACCATCAAAATGAAAAGGCAAGCTACCAAACTGGAGAAAAATTTGTAACTCATATATCTGGTATGGGTTAATATCCAAAATGCATAAAGAACTCATGCAACTCAAGAGCAAAAATCCCCCAAACCATCCAATTTTAAATGAGCAGATCTGACTAAACATTTTCCCAAAGAAGACAGACAAACAGATGGCCAGCAGGTACATGAAAGCTGCTCAACGTTGCTAGTTATTGGGCTTCCCAGGTGGCGCTAGTGGTAAAGAACCTGCCTGCCAAGCAGGAAACATAAGGGATGTGGGTCCAATCTCTGGCTCAGGGAGGTCTCCTGGAGGAGGGCATGCAACCCACTCCAGTATTCTTGCCTGGAGAATCCCATGGACAGAGGAAGGAGCCTGGCAGGCCAGGAAAGTGCACATCAAAACCATCCTGAGATATCACCTCACACCTTTAGAATGGCTATAATCAAAAAGACAAGGAACAACAAATGTTAGTGAGGACGTGGAGAAGAGGGAAACCCCATGCATTGTTGATGGGAATGTAAATTGGTGCAGCCACTACGAAAAACAGTATGGAGGTTCTCCAAATAATTAAAGATAGAACTACCATCTCATCCTACCATGCATGATACAAGCTGGTCTAAGTGTGGGAGAAGGCAATATTGAAATGGTTAATTACTAACTAGCAGCAGATGTTGGACCTGTGATTCAAAGAGCTTGAGACATTTAGGTTTGGTTCAGGAATATGTCAGTAAACAAGGTTTTAAAAAGCATAGGTCAGGAAATGACAGCAACACGTTGCAGGCAAGCAGATGACCTGGAGTCAGTCTTGCTGGGTGGACACAGTAACTTGCTTTCAGAATAGAGCCAAATCCAGCTCTAGGTTGGAATTCAGGGCAGGGCTGTAGAGGGGTTAAATGTACAATGTTGGTGAATAATGTAAAGAAGAAATCCAGTCTTCCCACCTGGGGCCAGGACAGGAGAAGGAGAGCACAGAGAAAGCTATGGTTAAGAGCTACGTGGATACATCCTGTGTCTCAGCGGCTAAGATTCCATTCTTAGCCCAGGAGCTAAGGCAGCTAACATACTTTCCGCCCTTGCCATGATTGGCTCAACCAAGATAAAGCTCACTGTGGATAGGCTATAACTGGAGGATTAAGTGTTCTAATCACTTTCCAGTCAAAGATGTCTTCTTGCTTCAATTTCATCTTTTGCATGATGGTAAGCAACTTAGCATGTACGCACACACGGGGACCACAGGATGGCCCATCAGGAAGTTCTGCTCCGCAGATCTGGAGAAGACAAAGAGAATGGAAAGGGGATTGATATGATGTAAAATGCTCGTGAAGAAGACGGAGAGACACCACACCCATTTCAGTTATCAAGTCCAAGAAAGTGGGGAGTGGGCAAGTCGTACCGTGATGCAGCCACCATTTCTCCACACTCTTCTAATAGTCTCCTCTTTCGTTCATTTTTTTGTTTCCAAAGACTTACCTCCCTCAGCCTGCCATTTGCCCTGACTCCGTGTATAAGCTGATGCTCAGCTGCTGGAGAAGAGACACCAAGCAGCGGCCCTCCTTCCAGGAGATCCACCTTCTGCTGCTTCAGCAGGTGGATGAGTGATGCTGCATAGCCCGGAACAGGTCCGCCTCGCCAGCCCCAGCAGCACCCTCGCTTAAGCCACCCATCTGGACACTGAATGCACCCGGGAGACAGAGGCTTGTTTGTCTTTCTCTCTTTCTGTCCCTTGTCTCCCTCCACTCCACTCCCCCACTCTCTACCCCTGACACATATATACTTTTTTTACATTAAAGAACTAAAAAGAAAAAAAAAAAGCCTAGGACAGATGAAATCTAGTAAAGCATCTTACTTGATATACTTAAAGTATTGGATAACAAAGGCTAGATAATTTAGATAATTTATAAAGGATAAATATGCTCGTGTTTATGAATGTGCAGATTCTACAATGTATTTTCCCTGTCGCCTTTAAAAAAGTGATTTCAGAAAGAAAAACTTGAAGAATGCTAATGTCTTAGGAAACATGAGACTAGGCATAGGGAAAACACTTGGTAAGTGTGGAGAATCTGATGAAATGGTATTCAGTAACTAGTCACCAATGGTTTGATTTCCTAATTTGGCCTGTAGACACGTCCTAAACTCTGCATTTTCCTCTCCTGGCAAAATAGATGTTACATGCTTGGAAAAAACTCAACTTACTGGAATGGTTGTTTTGTTCATTCCTGGGCAGGGATGAGGGTTGAGATCTATATGCATAGGAAATACAGCGTATGTACATAGGAAAGAATATTTACTGCAAGGCTCTATGAACAGGGATTGTTATTTGGAAAAAAAAAATGTGCCTCATGCATGGAAATATTCTTAAATAGAGAATGGACACAGGAAAGGGGTCAGTGGACGACAGGTAATAGGTGTGCTGCTCATTTCCTCAGAGGGTCCTCCTCTCACCTGGTTCAGACATTTTCAGGTGTGTGTTAGCGAGAGCCTGATTTTGAGTCAGTACAAACTCTTGTTTCTATAGCTTGATCCTAGGCCCTTTGGTTCATCTCCTCCAAAACTTCCAGCTCTTTTAATGGATGAATACTCTATGGAACCTATGTGCTGGGGATGAAATTTCTCAGGCATAAATCTGAAGGTCATGTAAAACAGGGAATAGATACGTTCTGAGTGTTTCCATAGGATTGACTGAGGATTGGTGAAAGGAAATTACAGGGAGATTGATTTTAACTCCCTATTAGGGAAAATATAGCCAGAGGCAGAATATACAAGGATGAGTGGGCTGCCTCGAGAGGTGGGGAGCCCTTTGTCACTGAAGAGGTTGAGATACAGGCTGAAGACTAGGAGAGAAAGAGGTAGGGTTTCAGACATAATAAGTGGTTGTGGGAGATGATGTTTTATGTCCTTTTAACCCTAGGAGTTCTTGAGAGGAGCAGGTTGAGTGTGGAAGAGTCATCTGCTGCTACTGCTTGGGATTTACACTCTTGCCTTGGCGATGGTATGACCAGCAGAAAAAGAAAGCTTGAGGCTCTGTCTTCAGAATCCATGGATACTGATAACACTGTTAAATAAAAATCCCCTCAGAACAGATTCTGAGCTTTCACACTCCACAGATCCTCAGATGCAGTAGGAAACAGGAAAAGGGAATGAGATGCTCTTGAAGTCTCTTCCAGCTCTGATATATTCAGACCTCATTGGATAATTGAATCTACAATTGCTGCAGACTCAGTGTCCAGTTGTCTCCTGCTCTGAAAATTGTGGTCAGCAAAAGAGATCACGTGAAGAAGTCACGATAATAGTAGTAATAGGACACCTGCCACTGGCTCAGTGCTTTAAAGTTTATCATGTGTTTCTCCATACTTTATCTCACTTGATATCTGCAGGACCAGACATGTCCTCATGTTCTTTTATACTTGGGACCTGCCACACAGTCTGTCTTCTCAAGATCAGTAATAACTTCGTGTACTATTCATAGTTCCCGAGAGAAACAGAACTTTTATATATATATATATATATGATTTATTATAATGAATTGGGGAATAGGGTTACATAATTATGGAGACTGAGGAGTTCCACAAAGCTGGTGGTGATGTACTTCTGGGAACCAGAGGGTTAAAGGTTTAAGTTGAGAGCAGAGGACTGATGTGTGAGCTCAAGCAGTCAGGCAGAGAGGCTACTTTTCCTTCTATTGAGGCCTTCACCAGAGTAGATGATGCCCACCCATGCTAGAGAAGGCAATCTTCCTTACTCAGCTCACCAATGAAAATGTTAATCTCATCTGGAAACACCCTTATAGAAAAACACCCAGAAGTAATGTTTAATCTGGGTGCCACATGTCTCTGTCAAGTTGATGCATTGAAGTTCATCTTTCCATTTCAGTAGAATCAAAGGGACTTGAAATCAGGGCTTGCAACTTGTTCTCCTTGATCCATGAGCATCTGGCAGGCCTACATTCAGACCAGGCCATGACTTCCTATGTGGCAAGAGGAACCATGTAATGTAATTTCTCCTTCTTTTGTCTAGTATCTTTCCACTTACTTCTTTTTACAATTCTGCCTCAAGCCACTGCATTGCATGATACCATAAGAAAAATCCTTTAAAATTAACTTAGTATGTCTAGATTTTCCTGGGCTTGAGTCATAGAGGTCATCTGTTTCAAGCAACTGGCAAATATGTATTGTCAGGTACAGTTATCTTTTTCTGAGATGAGGAAGGTTCCATCTTCTGGCACTAAGACTTTTGTACTACCAGACACAGTTTTAACTCCTCCCTTAGTCATACACGTTGCGTTCAGCGGCACAAATCTAAGAGAGCCATCAGGGTAAATGATCAAGGCTAGGTATCTAGAATTTAAAAATAGGTGGACTTTTAAAGAATAGAAGAATGAAGCTAAGAATTATGTAGAAAAGAAGGTAGGAAAAGGGATGAGAACTGTGGGGCCTTGTAACCTTTCTAGGAAGTCATCCTCTTCATGATATATGTGAAATGGTTTATGTCTAGATTGTGGTTTGGGATGTAGATTTAAGTTTATACTTTCGCTAGTGAATGTGGTGATAGCTAAGTCCAAATCTTGATGAGCTGTCCAGACTCATATGTGCTAAGAAAAGATCTGGAGTCTAAAGAGGCACCCAAGGGGAAATGCGATTTTAATGCTGTGGAAAGATCACTTGCAAGTGTACAAGACTGTATAACAAAGGGCACTGTATGAAGGTAGAGCAGAGAATGAATCAATGAATGTGCATGTGATTGGACAGGGAGGCAGGTGGGGTTTAGAAAGGAGGCTACATATTAGGGGTGACAGAGAGAAGGATGGGGGAGGTAAGGGCAGCAAGACGGACACAGATGGTGCTGCTGAGAATCCATTCTGAAGCATGAAAGCCAATCTCTGAAGAGAACAGAAAAAGTAAGTGTCTTGAAGATAAAAGATAAATGTATATGGAGAGAGAGGAAATTCTGGATGAAGAGATTATTAAAAGTAGTCATTAAAAAATGAAAAGTGAGGTGCAGAGTATGACATGGAAGGGAACTTTTCAGAGTTTTAAGAAAAGATAAACCCATCAAGAATATACAAACACATAAGCAACCACCAGGGAATGACCTTTTCATCTCATGGGCTGTAGGAGAGGGAGGCAGTTTGAACATGGGTGTTCTAGACCACTTCCAGTGCCAGGGATTCATGTGGTGACAAGAGATCAACTCTGTCTGAACTGGACTTGGCTTTCAAAGTGCTGCTTTGGAAATGAAGACCAAGAGGGGAGACGGGGAATTCATGTTAATTCATGAGACTCTGTCTTCCCTTCTTTATTTCTGCCACTGAAATCCATTTTAGATAATGCTCATCATTGTTGTGCCCAGAGAGGCCACAGGGAAACATTGGAACAACAGGCTTAGGTTAAACTAGCGAAATCTTGTTCGATATCTGCACCAAGACGTATGTGCCATGTTGGAACCATGTATTTTTCTAGTCCCATCCAGGCGTCCCACAAGAAAGCCATGATGTGGGGCTAAGGCATTTGTTTCAAGTAAAGGAGAACAGGAGAAAGGAAAGAGATGAAGATGTTCCAAGGAAATAGTGTAAAACAGAATAGCATCTGTTTTGTCCAAAGCTACAAAAATAAATGGAGAAAATCACAGTTAAGGCTTAGATTACTCCCAATATAGAGCTATTAAATCTTTGATCCTAAACTGAGTTTGTAGACCTGGAATTTGCCATCTTGCTCTTTTCAGTAAGACCTCTGATATCTGGAAGCGCTTATGATAGGTTTCTGAAAGATGTAGATCCAAATGTAGGCTGAATTTCCTTCTGAATTAAAATTTAACATTTTTATAGAAACAGATGAATGTCTTTTCCACTTGGTAAATGTCTTAGAATACTAAATTGAGATAGAAAGAGACTGGAATGGTTAAAGGTTTTTAGATTTCTGGCATTTTGAGTTCTCTGCTGCAGTTAACTGTATTACTTGGTAGCAAACATATGGAGGGTAATTGTTTAGTTGATGTATCTTTTTTCCCCCCCAACTGTTATATTGAAATACTTTAAGACTCACAAGAAGTTGCAAAAATAGTTCAGAGTGGCCTATACCTAATACCAGGATTTCCCATTGATAACATCTTAGGTAATCATAGTCCAGTTTCAAAACCAGAAAATTGACATTGGTATACTATTAACTAAACTACAGATCTTACTCAGATTTCACCAGTTCTTCACATTTATACATTTCATTTCTGGATACTTTTAACCCTTGCTGATTTGTAACCTGGTCTCACTTGGCTGCAT